ACCAACACTCTGATATTTTCAATTTACTACTCTAAATTGAGTTGAAGTTTATGTTATCGTTTTGGTTTATATTCGTTCTTGATCGGACCATACTTAACCCTAACGATTTTTTTGMCTAACATGTACCTTTTTAATTTTCAGAATGAATCACGTGRAGCCTCCACRMATRGATTGAAGATTTGTAGAGGTTACATCGTCACAAACTGTCATATTCGTTCTCGATCAAAACATTATTCTACTTTATGAATTCATGATATTTTGTTATTCAGTGGTTTTTTTTTACCGTGTAAGATGTAACTTTATGATATTATATCATATTGCATTTAAAGAATACATCATTTTGTAAAACTGTAAATGTCATCAAACTAACTAGGTCTTCGATTTCTTTTAAGTTAATCTTGCAACATTTGTATAGGTTCAACTTTGATTACAAAGAATGTTTTGGAATATCGTTTGCGTTATATTCAATACTAATTGTTTGTTTGTATGCTTCAGTTGCTGATATAACTTTGCCAACAAGATCATTCAAATCAAGGATCTATATGTAGGTAAAAAATTTGTATCTTTGGTATATATGTTTTTCTAAAGTTTGCTAATTGTTATCTTTTTTTGTTTGAAATGGTATATGATGTCTCAATGATAAGTCAATATGTACAAATTATAAAAAAGGCTAGCTTCTAATATTTTTCTCACAAAATCCATCATTATTAATTTATTATTATAGTGCAAAACAATATAAGAAGCGTATATATTGGTTTCTAGGTTATATATGCTTCAATGGTATTTAACATGTTTTTTTTGTGATTCGTGATCAGGAAATATTTGACTTTGCCAAAGACGTCATGAAGCAAAACTTAGCGAGCACTAGACACGCATTCGTAATAGCCACAAGATCTTATTAACAAATTTCAAATACTTTTTATAACAATGACTCTTGATATTCGACCATGACATGTATTTTTCATAATGATTGTTGTTGTTGATATACTCACGTAGAAAAATTTTCGTGTATAAACTATATACTGTATATGAATTTTTGACTTCATATCATTTTCTTTGTCATGGAGATTTTAAAGTTATGTCCACCTTGAAAATTCAAAATACGATACATAAAGCTACTTTGTTAAGAAATTTTATATAAAATGGCAAATAGACAATATAAAAATTGGAGAAGTCTAAGACGGTGAATATGAATAAGGAAAATAAGATGAAGAATAAAAGTTAGAAAAAGAGGAGAAATGAAGACAACACCGAAATTTAAAAAATAAACCATAAGAAGTAGAAGAAAAAACCAG